TACTGTCTGTTATATCCCAGCCAACATCAGTGGGAAAGAGAACCAACAATGAAGTAAACATGATCCCCAATACGTTATTAATTACGTGAGTGAGAAAGACAATTAAACATTTAGACTGAAGCTTGATTCAATTATATACAACTTACAGAAAGAAGTCCAGTATTCTTACTTTTTAGAAAAATCCTTCATGTTAGCAACAGTATGTTGTCTGTCTGACTGCTGTATTCATATTACTCACATAGTGAGTTGAAGCGATAACAGATAATCACATAAAAATATTTTAACATAAATACAATTAGATTCAAACAAATATCCGTCTGCAGCAGAGCTGCTTAACCTCTTTGTCCAAATGGCATCTATCACAGCTTATGGACTGTCTGAGTCACATTCTGTCTCATAAAGAATACGTTTAATGTGTTGCAGCTGGTCCCTTTCTTATTTTTGTCATTTTATTTTCCATCTACCTCGTATATTTTAGCGAAGGATTGTACATTTTTTGACTGTGCAAAGAATGCACCTCTGCTATTTTCCTAAAATAACAGATTCAAATGCAGAACAGAGGTGTGTGGCCTCTGTATAGACTATAGGCAATTCAACTCAGTTAATATATCAAGCACTGATTCATAGCACGTCATTTTAAGGCACTTTACTAAAAAGTAATTTCAATCCAATCCTTCATGAATTCCAGTTGATTGTAGTTATCAAGCAGTGCAGTCAAGCTCAGTTCATTATTCAAATTGTTTTAAAATATTTTCTATAAAAGAGAACCCAGCAGACCAGGCAGGTCCAGTATGAGATTATCCTGACGTACAAACACGATTGAGTAAAAATGTTTATTGATATTTACATCAAACTTTGAAAGAAGCATAAGGTAAGCCATATTTTTCAAAAATGGGAATAGCAACAAATGTTCATGCTGCAAAATAATATTATTAAACTTTTAATGTTTTTATTGCATCTTTCTTATTTTACATATTCACTAAAAATAGCAAACTTTTACTTTAGTTGAGAAGCTTTAGTTCTCCAGTAAACATGCTTATTGTACAGAAGATCAGGACTTTGTGTCATTGACAGGTGAGGGAGGGGAAGCATTGTAATGCTCCATCCAGCAGGAAAATCCACAGTCACTCCAGGCGCCTGCTCTTGCGTCTTATTACAAAGAACTTATTTGAACAGCAGTAACAGTATAATGAAAATTGTGTGATCTTAATACCTGTAACAGGTCAACAACTTGCTTTGATTTCCAAAGAGTAATAAATTACTTGTGCTATAGTTTGAAAACCACTTCAATCATTTGAAGTACTTGATGCTGCTGTTTGTTGTTGTTGTATCACACCTAGTTTGTTAAGTGCTTTGCGGGAATAAAGGTTTCAGCCTATTATCAATATCACAGTTTACGTTAAGAAAAGAGTGTACATTGTACACTTGGAGCTCATCAAGTTCCCTACTTGCAAATTTTCACAAAGCCATCTGGTAGCTATTGAACAATGTTTTGGATTGTTTAAAAACGGGCCCATAGCTTACTCATTATCCGACATAGACTTGTTCCGGGCACTCCGCTCTTTCTGACTGCCTCCTATTCTCTCACTCGCTCTGCCTGTCTCCAGCTCACCAGACCAGTTCACTTAGGCAGACACATTACTTAATGAGGTAATTGGTCTGATGTCTCTGGGGTACAATGAAAAATGCCACAGGACGGCATGCTATTCTGATTAGGTTTTAGACCTAAAATCACATGCTCTTTTGCATTATTGGATGTCATGCATTCTTGGTATGTCATACACAGTTTCAATCATCCTGAATTTTATATTACTTTAACTGTATTAAATAAAGACCTAAGTGGCGCTGTAAATGTCGAGGGCACATTTGCAAGTAAAGCATTTTTAACTGGCCACTTTCCACAGTTACAGCAACACCGACAGCATAACAATGTCCTGCCGTCAAGGCGAAATGCACGTTCTACTGTGGGGGATCCTGATTCCTGGTATGTGACCTTGTGGTTGACATGGAACCACAAAACTAGTGATCCCTTTCCATCCCTCCGCAATTTTCCATCCAGCTCCATTTGTTTTTCATTTGGAGAAACAGAACTGTTCACCCTTTTCCTTCTGTGAAAACATGCCATCCCAGAAGGCTTTGCGGGAAGTATCAATCACTGAAACGACTGTATTGTGATTACCTCAACACGCCGTATCAGACCTACACTCCAAAAAGAAAAACACTAGACAGTGTGGTCATGACAGGCAAGATAACACGCTGTGTTGTGAAGCACAAGTAAAGAAAAATCTTATCGTTGACAGGATAGAAAGTCTACGTCTTTGTGCAGCCTCAGTATCAGACAAACCAAGAGCATATAGGAAGATGTCAGAAGATACAGTGCCTTGTAAAACATTAGTCTGTACAGTGAGGAAACAGTTGAACCATTGTAAGTGTACAAGTATTAATCAGCCTGCAAATGTTTTGGGATAATTTAATTATTGCTGTGATTTATTCTTATTTTCCTTTTTTCTGTTGTTTCAAAGGCAAAGCAAATTAAATTATGCTGAGAATTACTGGGAAAAAAAACAAAAAAAACATTTGTTACTAGCAAAGTCATTTGGGGTAAAAAAGTATTTTTGATAATCATGCCTCCAACGTGATGCTCCAGTTTAAGTAATTTAAGTGACTGAATTATCAGATACTTCTTGATTATACTGACTGTTTTCATTGAACAGACAACAGAAAAGGAGTTCTCCTGCTTCACATGGACTGCTCTGTCAATAGCATGTGCATGCATAATGGATAAGAAGAAATTGCAGAGTATGCAGTCATTTTATCAATCTACTAATAGTGGTTTGAGTTGATAATCTATTGCTTTTGTCTAATTTAGTAGTTGATTCATCAACAGCCCAGAAGTTCCCTTTCAGGTCAAGTGGATTCAATTTCAAGAGAACTACAAAAACTCTTTGAAATTACCAGTTAGAAAAGGACTTATTGTGTCTATTACCCCTAGAATGACCTCTGACCCTAAGTTCAAAAGCCCAGAACCAGATGACAATCAGATAAAGTTATTAGTGTTTGTATATTTTTGTAGAGCTTTACACAAATACATATGGGAAAACTGTGACTTCTCACCAAACAGGGAGAACAGATAAATAATGTGGATCTGAAAAGTTTTCTCTTGTGTTACCACAATGAAGAGCGTTATAACTGAAAACATCAAAAACGATACTAAATTTTGTGACACACTGCAATTAATGTTAGTGGAATACCCTGACTCTCCTACATAAATGTCCTAACAGCCAAACAATGTGCTATAACACATGACTCTACAAGTCCAGCTTTCGGGCTCAGGTAGTACTTGAGTATTTGTTTTATTCTTCTTTGAGTACCACCTGAATGGGACTTACAGGACCACTGGATTGAAAATCCAGAGCACTATTCTGCATAAGTGAATGAAAATGAACAAGTAAATAAATGAGTATTTATCCAACCTGTGTCTTCATATAATTTAATTTCATGAATATGTAATGTTGAAGTTGTAATTACTAGAAAAAAGTTTGATATGTCGTGCCTATTGAAAAAATGCACACACATTATGAAATCAGATGTTTTACTTATTTTTTGATGTGGCTCAGTTTTCTAACCAAGCCACAGTCAGTGACTGATCCACAGTGAAGTTAAAGTGATCCAGGGTCATACCGCCTCCCCTTAACAACATACTTATTACCGAGCAGTGCAACACATTCCTTCTACTAAATCTTTCAACACAAGAAGTAAAAACTAGTGTTCTTGAGGAAGTGGAGAATATGAACCGCAATGGTGAGAATTTCCGTTTTATGTCTCCAATAACTCCCTTGTTTGTTCTTAAATGACTTCTATCCTATTCATTATCATCATAGTAGCAGACTTCCACAAAGAGGTAGCAACAGGACAAAAGGTTAGGTTTATTTAAACTCAAGGAATACCTTGTTGTTTCCTCGGCTGTTGGCATTTCATATTTATTTTAACATCATGCAAGAAGGGTTAACTACTGAGGGAGGACTATTTCCTCTGTTGAGAAAATGATTGTATTTGGTCTGGCATTTGTACAGCTGTGATTTATAAGCAAACTATAGGCTATATAGTCGGTCCCTAACAGCTTAATATGGCATCTAAGAATTTATCACTGTCCCCTTGGTCTCTGTAAGTGCTATCATACTAACTAGTTAAGCTTGTCTTGATTTTAATGTGGATTGTACTCTGTTGGGAAAAATGCATGCCTTGCTGCAGATGCAATGCATCTATTTCATGTCCTGTTGTTTTGTCAAGCCAGAAAAAAATTCCCACACTATGACCCAATATCACTTACAACTTAAGATCTTATAATCATCTGCAAAAAGTTGGCCAAATAGCTTGAAAATATAATCCCATGTATTTTACAAAGACTGAGTTTATGAAAAATTGTCATGGTAAAAAATAAAGCAAGAAGACTTTGCACTATTGCATGGACTTCAGGGGCAGTTCACCTAGATTGGCAGACTGGGGTGGTGCCCTTTTTCAAAAGAGGTACTACAGTTTAGATTATAACAGATTTTGTTTTGAACATTTCTGTCAAAATGTTGGAGAAAATTCTACATCTTTTTTTTTTTAAAGCCAGACGTAGAGTCACAAAGATGATTTGCTTCAGTAGATGGAGCATGCCACTGGATTTTGTGTATAGTATCAAATTCAAGGTATGCAGATCACACATTTTGTAACAAATTCAATACCCATGTATCATTTTCCCTTCGTTTCAAAATTATTAGCTAATTTGTGTTGTCCTAGCAAATGAAGTCCCAGTAAAATTCAACAAAATGTGTGGTTAAAGAGTATTTACGCGCTAGTAAAGCATTGTGTCTGACTGTATGCTTACCAGGAACTCCTCTTCTCAACTCTTGGATCCGAGTTATGTTTGTTCTGAGATATTTTTATTGACTCTTGCTACATTTCTCTCTGTGCGTCTGAGTTTATTTGTGTCCGTCTCCATTGCTCGCCTGCAGAGTGACACAGACGAAGGTGACGCCTTCAGGAGTCAAGATACTGCAGAGCTAATGGATTTGTCCCAGACGTCTAAGTGACAACTGAACCTCGCCTCAAACAGGACGAATAACAAAGGCAACCAGTTCAAACGTGACTCTCCTTCGTCTTCGTTTGGCCCCAGAAGGGATGAAAAAGGAAAAGGGAGCAAACGTCTCACATCTCACCTCATCTACACCACAGCATCCATCCATCATCTGTGGCAGCCTAAATTCCCATTTTTCCATCCCCTTAAAGGAGCACAGCCGTTAATGCAGAGGGGTTTCTTACAGAAAAGACTGGTCTTTATATCCTCTAAGAAAAAAATACCACTCAAAGTAATCTTGCCTCAATCTATGTTAATGACCTTGTTTTAATATTTCAAACAACCATGTGTTTCTTGTTTTCTGACAGTCTTCAAATTGCTGAATCAAGTGCAGATCCAGCTGTACTGGGTGTTGGATTTTCTAAAAACATCACGCCAGACAGACTGAAATGCCAGATTCAAGGCAGATTTGGACTGAGATTCATCCACAGTGAGAGGAACAAACTCTCCGAATGACCCCAAAGATTTATTTTTGAAGAATCCTCTGTGTAATTTCACTTACATTACTGAAATAAACTTTAAAGATCTCTAGTCAATAATAGCACACACAAACCCAGCTCTCATGTATTCAGCTGTAAGATTTGGTAGAAAGGGAAATGTGTTTTTTTTTTTTTTTTTTTTTTTTTCCATTTTATTTAAAATAATTTTAAAAACCCTCCCTTCACACC